ACTTAAAATTTTGACTAAATATCTGGCTGAGCAACTAGGTTATGATTTATGCAAGTGATCGCAAAAAGTAGGTGTAAAGCAACAACCATCATGCAGTTAATGACCTGAGTACTTCAGGTCCTGTGCAAAAACGCATGATCGCACGGGCCCGCCTGGTGCGTTTCAGCCTGGGTTTGTTTCCAGAAGAGATTTTCAATTCAGCTGTTCTCTAAATGGGGCAGCTTGGCAAGGCTTTATCGTTTCGAAATATTCATCGATGCTTTTTGACAACCCCTTCTTTCTCCCTTGTGCATTGCTAATTCTAGGCCATGATGAGGTACCAAATCGGTGCAAGCCTGTTAAATCCTAAAAACAGATGTGCCTTTTTTGCAGACTGAACGAAATAAAGCTCTGTCATTTTCACTGAACTTATCGGATACAGAGAAAGCTATTTTACAAGCTGTTCAGCTAATCCAGGTTAACTTTTTTTTGTTTTCTGGATACCCCGTCTAAATGGGAGAACATTGATCGTCAAAGTATAATGGGAATGGTTTCTGAATTAATGAATACACATAAGTGGAGGAGGAGGGTGTTAGTCGAAAGTATGCAGCTCAGGGCCAGACACTGATAAGCCAGGCTTACGGCAGCATACAGAAACATGTCCGAGACAGGACTCCGATACCGATTGTTCGGGCAATACCGAACTTCTTGGTCAGTGGATGTATATAGATGAACAAAAGTACAGTACTCCCTGTTGTACTTTACACTCTGTTGAGTGAGGTTGGTTGTACACGAGATCTCCAGGAAAGCTTGCAGGAAGAAGTGGAAAAAATAAATCACAATTTGCAAAATATCAATTCGGATGAAGCGGCACTGGATACTAAAATTGATCGTCGCAAGCGCGAATATGACCAACAACAAAAGCGACTGGCAAAACTGCAGGTAACAAGACGTAGTAAAATAAAAATCAAGCACGCACACTTTGTTCCAAAAATGCACCGCAAGAAACACTTTCAAATTCACCCTTTTACGCGTTTTTTGTAGCTATGCAGTGCGGAGAACGCATACTGATGAGAGATTGTTTGTGTGTGTATCTGTGTCTGTGTGTGTGCTGGGCCTCTGTACCAATTTTTCGTCTCGAGACCTACAAAAGCTGCAGCGTTGAAACTTTGGGAACTTAATCTATATGCATGTACGGGCCACCATTCCCAAAATAGGCGGTCTTACTCGCGTGGTACACACGTACGGGCCCATGAAAATTTTTTGCGAGTAAGTCGCTAACTTGTTAACCAGAAAAGCTAGGCAGCTGGAGTTTTAAGGGGATGTTCCTCATCTAAGTAAGCCTAAATGAGCTCAAACCCAGTCCCCGAGTAAGCGTGGTACCCGCGTACAGGCCCGCTAAAATTTTTTTCGGGTAAGCTCATAAATCGGGAATCTGAAATGCTAGAAAGCTTAAATCTTAAGGAGATGTTTCCAGTCCAAGTGGGTATTAATGGGCGCAACCCAGCCCACGGGTAAGCGTGGTACCCGCGTACGATCCCGCCAAAACTTTTTCGGGTAAGTTCATAACTCGGGAATTTGAGAAGCTAGAATGCTGAAATCTCAAGGGAATGTTACCAGTCCAAGTGGACACTAATGTGCTCAAACTCAACCCTCGGGCGCGCGTGGTACCCATGCATGGGCCCGACAAAGTTTTTTTTTGTGGTAAGTTGATAAATCGGGAATTTGAAAAGCTAAAGGACTATAATTTTAAGAGGATATTCCTCGTTCACCTAAGTCTCATAGAGCTGAAAACCAGACTCCGGGTGCGCGTGGTACCTACGTACGGGTCCGCCAAAGTTTTTCGGGCAAGTTGGTAGCTAGAGTACCTGAAAAGCTAAAGGACTGTAATTTTAAGAGGATATTCCCCGTCCACTAAGTTTCATTCAGCTCAAACCCAGCCATCGGATTTGTGTGATATCCACGCACAAGCTCACCAAAGTTCTCGGATAAGTTGCTAACTCGAGAACCTGAAAAGCTAGAAGACTGTAGTTTTAAAAGCAGTCTTAATTTGTTTAGCTAGAAGTTATTTGTCGAAAAAACCGATGTCGGTAGCGGCGAAAACTGCGGGGAACCATGCAAAAAACGCATCTTCGCACGGGCAGCCCGTGCGTTGGCCAATTA